CCACTCTTTTGCTAATATATTTCTCTCCCATATACGGCAAGGAGATGACGTTATATGCAGAGTAAGAGTTGCTCATAGCAAAAAAATGACTTATGCTATTCAAAGTTTTAGCTTTGTTATCCATAGAGTCTCAGACACAAAGTTTTATTTTAAAAGGTAATTTATTTAAAACAACTTTTAATAAATTCATTTTGAGATAAAAGGGTTAATTGGAACACTAGTCACTCGATTTATGTCATAATTAGATGTCCGTACCTGATGACTGATGATGTAATTAAATACTAATTGGGCCACTAATCAATTCTAATGTTTTCCGTCAATTGATGCAACGGATTTTGTTGACGTGGCATAAAAAAGTCTTGATCATTTGATATAATACATTTCTTCCTATTTGTAATATGTTGATCACTTATGAAAATGAAGACATGTGACATAACATGCAACTTTTATTGAGTAATTATATTGCATTTGACACTTTGTTCTTGAAAATGTTAACTAGTGACACATTGAGCGAGCTGTATTACTTCATTTGAAAATTTACAATTCAATTTGACGAAAAACTTTAGAAGTGACTAGCTGCCCAATTAGTAATTAGTTACATGACCGGTCATCTGGCAATTACCCCGGATAAAAGCTTTGTTGTAGTCGTTCCCCAATTAAAGCTGAAATTTCACTTATCACATAAAATGTCAAACGAAAAGGTTAAAAAAAAACTAAGTAAATAGACTAAATTGCAAAACCAATTAATTACTAAACCTGATGAGATTTCGGCGAAGGGCATCGACGAAGAATCTCGGCAACGGGCACAACGAAAGCTAGGGTTTTACCCGACCCGGTGGCGGCGTCGACGGCGACGTCCTTGTAGCTGCAGAGCAGAGGGATCGTCGAGGCTTCCCATTGATTGCAGAGCTCTGGCCGCCTGCGCGCTCTTTTGGAATTGGGGTTTTAAGGGGTTTTGGGGGATTTAGGTTGGTCGTGTAAAAAGGCTGAAATCGGGCCAGAGAGGCCCATTTGGTTTTCGCAGGGATAATTGGATCGAGTTAAAACCCCAAGGGCATATGAGCAACCCACGTGTAAACCTCATTGTCCATGAGTAAATAAGTTATAGTATAAAATGTTCAAAAAATATTATCATTTATTCTTTTTATTTCATGTTTTAATTGAGTCGAGATCAATTTTTCTTTACCTTTATCTTTTTATTGGGCAATTCTAGAGTAGCGTCATCATCATCTATATCAATTGTGATATCAGGTTAGAGTTGAATTTCTTAAAATTAATATCTTCAAATAATGAAGTCCAACACCAAAATCAACCTATTTGTCTTCTGCTCCCCCCTCAAAAACCATAACCCTAATCCATGAAATGAGTTTGTACATAATGAAGAACAATAGACAATGTCAAGAGACAAAAAAGAAAAAAAAAAGAAGGAATTGAATAAGAATCGCTAGGTTTGTACATGATAAAGAGCAAAAGACAAGATAAGAGTTCAGGAATATATTAGGATACACTTGAATCAATTAAATTATATTATTACTCAGAATTTATATGCATAAGAGACAAAATGTGTTGATAATCTTAAACTATAAAACAGACTGTATGGGCCCTCTAACATAATTATTAATACAAGCAACATCCAAGATTAATTTTGAAAATCTCTTGATTTTGTGGAAGAGTTTGAGTGTAAAGAACAAATGTTAAATTATCTAATCTGATTAAAGTAGGATCATATAAGTTAACCATATGCATAAAATTTATTTTAACAAAAACTCATACATAAGTATTATAATTAGCATTGAGATCAAAGAACGTGTGAGATTCTCTTTGACTTTTATACAAACAGTATCTATTTAAATAATAATAGTATAATTAAACTTTGTGATCTGAAAGAAATCAAATATACAACATAATTAACTACTTTAAAATAATCTAATCTAATTTAATAAGAAGAAAATAGATGAAAATACTATGAAAATTGTTGTAATTTTATAATTCATAATTCTTAAACAATCTAATCTATTCTAATAAGAAGAAAATAACAAAGATACATACTTGTTGAAGGAGATAAAAGTAATGTGAAAGCTATTGTAATTTCTTGATCTGAAAAAGATCAGATATACAATATAATTAATTACTTTAAAATAATCTAATCTAATCTACTAGCAAAGGCACATGCCTGTAGAAGGAGATAAAAGTGCTATAGAAATTATTGTAATTTCTTGGCTTATATATATTGGTATATGATGTTGCATGTGAGAGGATAATAATTATAAATAAAGTTCAATTTAAATAATAATAGTATAATTAAATTTTGAAACTAACTATGCTGTACTTTTAACTACTTTAATTTTAGTCGGTGAGAGATCGCCACTTTGTGTGTAATTATTAATCATATAGCATGTGAATAATTGTTTGCAAATTTGTATTATTAATCATGTAGCACGTGAATAATTGTTTACAATTTGATCATTGATCACATATAAGAGCGAGGGGGTAAATTTGGTATTTGATAAATCGTCTAATTAACCTAAGCGTATTATGAACTACTAGAATTTTAGTTGGTGAGAGATCGTCACGTTGTGTGTAATTATTAATCATATAATATGTGAATAATTGTTCACACTTTGGCGTTATTAATCATCATGCAATTTGCGATCTTTTGGCAGCTAACCCTACTACTGATGTAGCTGAATTGTATGAAGATTTTCCAGATGAATTTCATAAGGTCAATGTTATTTCTCATCAACACATTTGGCAATTATACTTCGACGGCGCTTCACGAGCAACCAACACGGCGAGCACCCCCGGTAAGTCTAAAATGTCTGCAGGAGTTGGAGTCGTCCTAGTCTCCCCGGAGAAACATGTGATACCCCGAACCTACTCATTGATAGGAAAATGCTCCAACAACGTGGCCGAATATAACGCGCTGCTTATCGGACTTAGTTTTGCCAAAGAACTGGGGGTCAAATATCTCGAAACTTTTGGTGATTCTCAATTGATAGTTAATCAAATTCGAGGAGAGTACGAAGTTAGGAATCAAGACTTGATACCGTACCATAAGGTGGCTATCGAGATGGAAGATTCGTTTGAAGAATTCTTCATTGAATACATTCCACGTCTCCAAAACGCATATGCTGACGCATTGGCAGCATTAGCGGTATCTTTGGCACAACCTCCCAACACAGAACAATGGATTAGTATCAAAACTCATCAACTTTTTGTACCAGAATGCGCCTTGGATACCAAAGAGGCGCATACGACCAAAATTGAATTCGAAACTCGAGATTGGCGATTCCCCATTATTGACTACGTCGTTCATGGAATCTTACCGTAAGATATAAAAGAGAGAGACTCTGTTCGACGAAGGGCCCCGAGATTCTATTACTACTCAACATATCTCAAACATTGTATCGTCGCGCATATGATGGATTACTACTTAGATGCTTCTCAACAAAAGAAGTGGAAGAAGCTATCAAAGAAGCTCATGATGGAACTTGTGGGGAACACCAACCTGGTCCTAAATTATGTGATCGTCTCAGAAGAATGTGATATTATTAGCCAACCATGGTCAAGGATGCAGTCGACTACGCCCGACAGTGCCACGCGTGCCAAATACACGCAAATTACATGTACCAACCTCCGAAACACCTACACCCATCAGCCACTTCATGGCCATTCGAAACATGGAGAATGGATATTGTTGGTCCTATCTTCCCACCGTCAGTGAAAGGCAATCGTTTTATTTTGGCAATCACCGATTACTTCTCCAAATGGGCTGAAGTAGTGCCGCTAAGAGAAGTGAAGAATAGCGATATCATCAAGTTTATTAAACGCCATATCATTTACCGATATGGAGTTCCGAGACGAATCATACACGACAACGACCCTCAGTTTGTGAGCAACGCCTTCATCAGCTTTTGTGGGAAATTTAGAATCGAAGACATATCATCAACGGCCTACAACCCCACAGCAAACGGATTAGCAGAGGCGTTTAGCAAGACAATCATAAAAATTTTGTCAAAACTCATGAGAACTAACAAGAGAGACTGGGATGACAAGCTTGGTGAAGCCCTTTGGGCCTATCGCACCACAGTTCGCACGCCCACCGTGCAGACTCCATACTCATTGGTATATGGATGCGAAGCTGTTCTTCCCATGGAAATCCAAATTCCATCCCTCCGTATTGCTATCGCAATAGGGAAGATGACAGAGGAACAACATAAAAAATGGCTCAAAGAACTTGAGATGTTGAACGAGAAGCGTTTGGAAGTTCAACAGCAAATTGAGTTTTACCAAGCCAGAATTTCTCATGCTTTCGACAAAAGAGTCAAGCAACGAAGATTCAAAGAAGGAGACTTGGTTCTCGCTGTCCGACGGCTAATGATACTCAACTCAAAGAAGAAAGGAAAGTTTCAACCCAAATAGGAAGGACCATTTGTGATGGAAACAGTCTACTCCAATGGCGCGTACCGTTTAGTCACCCAAGATGGTGACAAAATCATGATGCCAATAAACGGAAATGTAGGCTGTCTAAAAATCACAATGGATAGCTAATCCCCATTAAGCCCCGACAATAGGAGTTACAATCAGACGACTTCTTAATCGCTGTATCTGCAACTCTGCAACCGCTACAAACACGGCCTTATTTCTGAGATGATTGATCTTGATGGCTGCGACAACAGCATGACTAATATTATATTAGCAACTATTAGAGATGCTGATGAGCAGTGTAATGATTTTAGAAATAAAAGGTTGGACTTAGTTGGTGAGTTGCTTGGTAGAGAGCTGTGGGCAAATATTCATCTAAAAATACTATGGATGTTGATTCCCGTCAAGCTCCAACAACGAAAGCTACAATCAAATAGCTTTCATGTCGATAAGCAAAAGCTGCAAATAGAGGACTTTTCACATAGATCGAGAAGAGTTACAATTCAACGACGCTTCCGATAACTGATAAAAATTCTATTCAGCAGTCTTTACAATCTACAGTGAAAGTTACAATCTGACGACTTTCACACCCCACAACAGCTAAAGCTAGGATTACTGAACGACGGTCCTTGCAACGCTTAATAGAAGAAGTTACAAGTCAACTAGCTCCTTCTAAAACGCGGAAGTCATCCCCGCGTTACAATTCTGGAAGTGTAGGCGACCCCCGCGTTTCCAAGCTACAAGCTAAACGTGAGCGACCCTCGCGTTCGTAGGGGTCCAACCAACACCGACCCCCGCGTTTCCAAGCAGGCAACAAGCCAAAACGCAAGCGACCCCCGCGTTCATGGATGTTCAGCCAACACCCAACCTCGCGTCTCAATTCTAAGACACGAAGTTAGGTTCTGAACGCCAGATTGGGAGTTTGACTCGTTCAAATACGAGTCGAACGGTTTCAGAACTGTTTTCCCACGATCTGAGGAAATCACGCCCACTTAGGAGCGGATTTAGAGGGCAGTTACAACCTCTTATCCACCTATAAAAACTCAACAAACTCAACTGAGTTAGGGACTGGCTTTTTGGAACGGAAGAGTTAGCGGCAAGGAGGTTGGATTCTAATAATCTAAACCACATAGAGGTTGGATTTTTCAGGATCGAAACCACTCGGGTTTGGTGATTCAGCAATAGCAGCAGCGAAGTCCTTGGAGATAGGGTGTTTGAATCGATCTCAGAAGATCAAATCTGAGAGGATTCTTCAGCAACAGAATAACAGCTTGATCATTAACCAAATTTTCGGTTCTAATAACTCTATTCATAGAGTTCTAACTCTTCAGAGTTTTTAAACTCATCCAGAGTTATCCATCAAACTTTCCATAGAAGTTCATTGTTCCCACGAGATAAAAGACGGTCGGATCGTCAACGGAGAGCAAATTCGACGCGAGCAATCGAAGGAGGCATTCCATCGCTACCGAGAAGAACTCAGTTTTAAACAAAGGAGAGAATCAAATTCGTTCTCTTCTCTTTTGTAATCAAGTTGTAATCGGAATCAAAGAAATACAAGTCAAATTTTCTTTATTCTTTTCATTGCAATTTTCTCTACATACAAAAGATGGCGACTCCGCTGGGGACTAGCTTTTCCGACGAAGAAGTGGTGGCGCAGTCTGACGTT